AGATACTTCGGTGTTTTGGGGATTGGGATAGGTTATTGGAGACCATTTCGAGGAAGAATTGTTTGATGGAGATTCATTTGGAGAGGCTGCAAGTGAGTGATGTTGGGCTAATGGCCATATCCAAATGCTCGGGTTTGGAGGTATTTCACTTGGTGAAGACTCCTGATTGCTCAAACACGGGAATCTGTGCAATAGCTAAGAATTGTATGCTTTTGAGGAAGCTTCACATTGACGGATGGAGGACGAATAGGATAGGTGATGAAGGATTGACTGCAATTGCGAAGAATAGTGCAAATCTCATGGAAATTGTGCTTATAGGGGTGAACCCGAGTTCCACGAGTTTGATGGCATTAGCCTCAAATTGTCAGAAGTTGGAAAGGTTGGCACTTTGCAGGCGTGAAACAATTGGAGATCCTGAGATATCATGTATTGCAACCAAATGTATGGCATTGAAGAAGCTTTGGATAAAGGTGTGTCGGGTTACAGATTCAGGGCTCGAGGCATTTGCTTTTGGGTGTCCAAATTTGGTGAATCTTAAGGTCAAGAAGTGTAAGGGAGTCACGAACAAAGTTGCCGACTGGTTGAGATCAAAGAGAGCATCACTGGTTGTAAACTTGGATGCAGATGAGATTGAACCTGAGGTCATGGATGTGAGTGTTAGTGATGGAGTAGCATAGGATGAAGACATGATGTTCCAAGTCAAGGTTAAGCCTTTTTTGAGGTTATCAAATGGTATTGGCAACGATAATTCAATAGAACTGAAGGAGAGATGAAAGGAATTGTTTATTTTCCACTGTTTTCTATATTCAAGAATGGGATGGTTAAGCATCTGTTGTTTTATCTTGCACTTGAATGTTAGGGCGGTCGACTCATTTCCCTTCCCTTAACATTTTACAAGTGGAATGTGTTTTCTGCCTGTTTAGTAGCTTTCATTTGCAGCATGCCGTTCATGCATTACTCAAAAACTTTTCTGTAATGAAGGATAAGTGTAATTAGGAACTCTTAGCTGGATTTCAGCAAGTTATTTTTCTTTGAATGCTGCGTATCGCCCCCTTGAAATGTAATACTCCTCATACGAGTATATCTAATAGAAATTCATGCACATATGCTTTTGAACACTCAATATTGTAACTGTTTTTGCACATCGTTTGAAATAGGGTACCTGTAATGGTTTCTTCTATATGCTGCTATATGTTGTCGAGTGAATTAACTTAGGACTTTCCCCTGCAAAGGTACTAGGAATTTTGTTGGTGCATATAATAATATAATGCTTGCCGACTCCAAGTTTATTGAGAATAAGATTTATTAGCTTATTATGGTTGTTGCCTATAATACATTGCTTAAGGTATA